CACGCGTGCGCACACACACACACACACACACACACACACACAACAACAACAACAACAACAACAACAACAACAACAACAACCTTAGGCCTGGAAGAACCGGAACCGTCCCCCAAAGCCACGCCCAAACTCGTCATAGGAAGGAAGAAATATGGCCGTCGATCCTTACCCTTCAACCGCGAGACAGACATGAAGAGTCCGGGCCCAGAGGGCTCCTACAGTCAATTCCTGCAGGACCTTAGCACCAACGACCGGTCGTCGCCGTGTGTGGTGAGTGCTTGTTGTTTGTTTGTTTGTTTTTTGTTAGGTTTTGTTTTGTCTTTTTTGTGGAAAGGGGGGAGGGGGGGAGGGAGGTTCTAAATTTCCTCTGTAAGCAGGTCCGTTGCAAATGGGTGGTTGGTTGGAGGGCGCTACTGGTAGGTCCTACTTTTTTTTTTTTTCCTCTTGTGATTACTGCCATTGTGCCTTTCCGTCCATCCACCCTAATAAATGTTGTTTTTTGTCGGGTTTTTTATGGTCTATATGTCTAGATTCTGCTTTTCTGTTTTCCTGTTTTTCTACCTATCTAACACAATCAAACAAAGAACATCATTAGTATCACTTGCATTATTTTGTTGGCACGCGTTTATCGTTCAGGTCAGGGATTAGCGGATTATGCTGACGCGCACTGCTCTAAACGTTTGCCCAACCAAGTGGCATCAAAGTATGTGCAACGCCTGGCATTTCCTGCGCCGGATTAAGCTTAGTAGTTATTGCAAAGGTGTGCTATTATAATTTGACAGCCGCAATTCGGATACTTTGCTGTACGGGCCACGTTTGCCCATGGCTCTCCAATGGTGGGTATTTTGGAACTTTCTCATGTTTGATTTTTTTTCAGTTTATTTGTTTGCTTGTCTTGCTTTTCTTTTAGTTTGTTCGTGGTGCGAGTTTGGTGGTGTTCTGTTTTAGTACGTTAAGGTTTAAGACTTTCTGCTTCCTTTGTGGTCTGGTGGTCTGTCTTTCTCTCTCTCTCTCTCTCTCTCTCTCTCTCTCTCTCTCTCTCTGTGTCCCTCTCTGTGGGTGGTTGGCGGGTGCTCTGGTGTGGTTTGCTCTTTCTGTCCAATCAAACATCTATCGTCCTTATCTCTCCTCCTCGTGGGTGGTTGGAGGGCGCTGCTGGTAGGTCCTACTTCTTTACTTTTCCTCTGTTGTTTCTGTCTGTCTGTCTTACTTTTTCCCAGCACTAAATTACCATAATTATGTCGATGTGCTTCTCTTTACTCTTTACTTGTGTTTGTTACTCTCTTGTTACACCTCTAATCTTCGGCACTTATATGACCTTATTGTGTTGCAAGTGCCGTGATACTCTTACTAAAACTTCACTTAACTCTCTTTCTCTCTTTCGCTCTGTGTATGTGTGTGTGTTTGTGTGTGTGTGTGTGTGTGTGTGTGTGTGTGTGTGTGTGTGTGTGTGTGTGAATCTTTCTCTATCTTTTGCTCACGTATACTTTCAGAAAGTACTCCCGACACTATATGTTTGTCGTTTCTGAAGGTAAATATATGAGCAGAACCATAGAGATAATTATTTTAGACGTTTTGACCATATTTTTTCACCTTGAAAACTTCTGACGAGACTGTTTTGAGATCTCGCTGGTAAACAGATACTTTGGGATCCCTATAGCCAATAAGCTGTCCATGATCGAACATGTTGACTTACTTACTTTACTTTATCCGTCCTATTGTACCTCTAGGGTGTCGATGGGAGAAAGACCTTCCTGTCTCTAGCAAATTTGATGGCCTGGCTGGGTGGGATATTGAATATTCTCACGGTATCCTTCACACCCCGGATCCAGGTCTTTCTTGGTCTTCTTCTTGCCCTGTACGCTGATACTTTCCTGTAGTAGTAGTAGTAGGCTTTACTGGCAAGCTGGTTAGGTGCCATACGTGTGATATGTCCAAACCACCTGATTTTTTTGCCTTCGGATGTAGTGGAGGATAGGTGTTGTTCCCACCATTTCTCTAATCTTGTTTCTGACCAAATCCTGTCTGGTTTTGTTGACGGCTCTCCTTAGGCATCTCATCTCGCAGGTGGTTATCGTACGTTCCAGACTTTTGGTCAGGGTCCATGTTTGGCACTGGTAGGTCAAGGTGGGGATGAAGATAGAGTTAATGAGCTTGGCTTTGGTCTCAATGGGGATGTTAGGATGTTTGAGGAGTGGGGCAAGCTGGTAGCTGACGCTGTTAGCCTTTTCAACTGTCGTTTCATGTTGACAATTTTCCATTAAAAATAAAACACCAAGATTAACAAAAACTATAGTTTTGTTTGTTTCGATCAAAGTCATTCGATATACCCAGAAGTGTTATGGAAACTTTATATATAAGACACCAAACTCAAAAGGATAAATAATGTTACTTTCTGGATTTCGTGTTACGGTGGTAACATCTCTAAACAACAATAACAATCACACACTCACACACACACACACACACACACACACACACACACACACACGCACACACACTCATATATATATATATATATATATATATATATATATATACGTGCACGTCTACCAAAATCAAATTCCCCGTCGTTCCCGACTTCCGCAATCTCCGCTGGCCCCATCCTCAGCTCTGTCCATCCGTGTGCGTGTGTTTAGTTGGAAGCGCAATAATTAACTAATGGAAATCGTGACTTCATCGTACCAGGTCTCGGCCACAGACAGGCAAGACTTATACCCCTTAGCTTCTAAGTGCGGACAAAGATTTTGTTCGTTTTCTCTTAGTCTGTTCAGCTTACCCGTTGACGTGCAGTGAATGCCCTGTGGTTACTCACAACTGATTAATTAATTGTTTTGTTCTATTTTCGATTAAGCCTTTTATCATTTTCTTATGTTTGCCTGTGGGACGTACTATTACTGTGGGTAGTTGACTTGAAGGGCTCCACTGGTAGGTCCTCCTTCTCAAAATGCGTGTTATGAAAGTTGTAAAGGGACGGTCAAGCCAAGTTGTAAACAAAATCTATTCCGCCAAGCCGTGGAAATGAACTCCGGCGCGTGGGTGGTTGGCGGGTGCTCTGGTGTGGTTTGCTCTTTCTTTCCTATAAAACACATGTCATCCTTATCTGTCCTCCTCCTTTTTTGTGTATGTTACTCTCTTGTGACACATCTATTCTTCGGCACTTATGTATGTCTGTGAGTATGTGTGTGTGTGAGTGTGTGTGTGTGTGTGTGTGTGTGTAATTGTAGGTTTGCGTGATTATGTGTGTGTAAGTGCCGTAAAACTCTTACTAAAACTGAACTCCGGCGTCAGTGATTAAATTCCTGCCAGAGACATCGTCATGTGACTGTGCTAGTCAGCCTGTCCATCGTTTCACTAGTATATTCACCAGTGCGTTGGTCATTATGTAAGAATCTTGTCAACTTGGATGACAAATAAGTGTGTCCAAAATAGCCTACTTTTCTTTTCCTTTCGAAATTCAAGAGCGAGCTCTTGGTCTTTCTGAAACTCAAGAGCTCTTGGTCATTCTGTCACTCTTTAAGTATCCTGGCATTTGCTACTTTTTTGTTGTGAGTCTTCTGTAAGGCTTCGATGAAGATTTGTTCCTCGATCCAATACATACCAAAGTGGTTGGAGGGCGTCACTGGTACGTCCTACTTTACCTTCCCTCTGTTGCTTCTGTCTGTCTGTCTTATTTTTCCCTACACTAAATGAACATGTGGTTTGTTGGCAGGTGCTATGGTGTGGTTTGCTCCTTCTTTCCTATCAAACATCTATTGTCCTGATCTCTCCTCCTTCTTTTTTGTGTTTGTTACTCTCTTGTATCACCTCTAATCTCCGGCACTTATATGACCTCATTGTGTTGCAAGTGCCGTAAAACTCTTTCTAAAACTAAAAAGCTAAATGACCATCATTGTGTCCATGTGCTTCTCTTTACACAAATCCAAAATAAATTATATACACCGAACGTCCTCACGCCAGGTTGCTCCATGAGTGACCAAGTTTCCCGCATGAAATCTCTCAAAATCCTGGCAATGCGCTAGGTGTCCACAAGATACAACAGATTGTCGGCCACTGTGTTTCCTTATTTGAAATAGAATCAGATTTGTTTGTTCTTTGGTCATGAATTCATTAACCTCCAGTAATAGAAGAGCGAAAAGGGGAACCCGTGCGATATTGTACTGTCTGTTTGGACGCAGTTTTCTTTGATTGTACTTTCTCTGCAACAGATTTATTTTTCTGTCTATTATACTGAAAAGAGCACCTGAAAGGGCTGAATGTCACGTGGTTGTTGTTTTTTTATTCCATTTGATTTTTTAAATTTAATCCGCTGTGGTTTTTCTTTCCTCATCCTTACTATCGTCACTTTTTCCCTACTTCTTTTGTATGTTTGTCACTCTCTTGTGAACTGCTATTTCCGGGGTGCTTTCATAGACGAAGCTGACTTTGTGCTGTTGAGGCTAGAGAGGTGAGCAGAGTAAGCCTGATTCCTCGTTTGGACTTATCTGTTGATATCCACCCCTTGGCGCTCATAATATGACCTTATGCTGTTACGAATGTTGGTGGTTGGTGGGTGCTCTGGTGTGATTTGCTTCTTCTTTCCTATCAAATAACTATCGTCCTTATCTCTCCTCCTTCTTTTTGTGTTTGTTACTCTCTTGTAACACCTCTAATCTGTTGCTGTTGTTGGTGGTGGTTTTATGTTGTTGTTTTTTCAGGGGTTGGGGGTGGGGGTAGTGGATTCTATCCATTTATATAATTGAAGTCAAAAGGATATGGAGATTAGACATGATAAAGCCAATATCAGAATGTCCAAGGGTGGAAAGAAACCAAGAACAGAATACGGAAGAATGGATTTGATGTTAATTATTCAGAGGCAATCAGCAGATAGGGCTGCTCGACTGATGTACAAGGGCCGAATGATTTGGGAAAAGAAAGGGGCGAGGGAGGGGTCGCTGTTTCGTAAGTTGGTTCGCTGCATATAGATGTTCAGTGGCAGAAATAGTATCATGGAGTGATGGGTCTATTCCTGACCGAAAGTTGAGCTTGATGAAATATGATTATTGCTGAAATTGCCTTTCCTTCCCTCAAAAGTCTCATACTTGCTGTTATTGTTGTTGTCGTTTCATACATAATTTTTATAATCATTGGTATTATATCGTACACAAAACTGATGACAAAACACATCTCTGAAGACTGCCAGTCTTACAAAGGACGGTGTCAGATTTTGTGCTATTCAGCGTAGCATATTATTATGGTGGTCTGTCTACCAAAAATGCCAACACCCATAC